ACCAACAGTATCCCAATAAGCAATGTAAAGTTTACCAAAGGTTAAATGTTACAACATAAAACCATTAAAATGGGCTGTAAATTAAGATGCTGTGTATCATTTACTTTTCAGATAAAAATGAATCTGTAAAATACATGAAATTCTTACACCAACAAAAGCTGAAGGTGTTGATGAGAGCAGACATCATTAGACGGAAGGTATCATAAAACAGCTTTTCAGTGACTGGGGTGAATGAATTCCTACAGCACATGGTAAATGAATAAAAGGAACTGTAAAAACTTACTCTACATGAAGCACATGCATTTATAATGTTTTTTTTTTTTTTTTGGTTTAAATAAAGAGTTTGACCATCTCCCAAATATTCTAAGAAATACAACCTAATTGATTTTATTGAAACATTTATTTGCCTTCTCAATTTAAAAGTTTTAGAAGGGCTATGCCTGTTTCTGAATTAATTTATAGAAAATAAAAGAATATTTACAGCCTAAAGTTCAGTAACATAAAAAAATTTTCTAAAAAGTAAAGTCTACCAATTTTTAAAAAAATATATGTTATGATCAAAGCCTTGCATTTTAGACATAGAAAAATATTGGCTTAGTAAGAAATACTTCTCTCCCTAAGGGTTTTAAATCAACGTATAAACTAAATCACATAAAAGAGAAATAAATATTTATCAGCTCTCCATTTTATTTTTTAAAGTTCATATATATTTATATCTTAAAAAACAAGAGTAACTTTTTAGAAAACTGGTTTAACATTTTATGTTCCAAAATATATTTTATCTTTATTAAAAAATCTTTTTTCAATGACGAAGCACACTTATCAAAATACAAACAGAACGTTTTTTAAAATCCAATGAAAGTCTATCAGTGGAATCCAAATATAGCAACAAAGCCCTACTATTTTATGTTAGAGACGCACCCAAGTCTCAACTGCCCTGACTACTACTTTCCCCACTGCCCAGAGGCCAGTTTCAGAAACAGTGATGCTTTAAGACGCCTTCTCCAGCCTAACTACATAAATTACCTCTTAAAAGAAGAAGTAATTTACAGTGTGTTTCCATAAATCACATACCCCAAGGTTTTCTCCTAGGAGCCACCTATGTTCTTTTTTTTTTTTTTTTAAACTGGCTGATATGGGGCCGGCCCAGTGGCGCACTTGGTAGAGTGCGGCGCTTGGGAGCACGGAGGCGCTCCCGCCGAAGGTTCGGATCCCATATAGAGACCGGTCGGCTCACTGGTTGAGCGCGGTGTGGGCGCAACACCAAGGGTTGCGATTCCGTTGCTGGTCGCGGTACGGGCGCGACACCGAGGTTTGCGATCCCGTTACCGGTCATGAAAAAAGACAAAAAGGGAAAAAAAAAAAAACTGGCTGATATGGAGATCTGAACCCCTTGACCTTAGTGTTACAACACTGTGCTCTAACCAACTGAGCTAATCAGCCAGCCATCCTATGTTCTTAAACAAAAGTGATTCTCAAGTTTTTTCCCATCTCACACATTTATGGAATATGAGACCCTTAGCAAAAGTGGTCCACTAAAGCAATGATTAGGGGACAGGGATATGCATTTAAAAGTCATACATTAAAAAATCTAAATATAACAAACAAATAATATAGATATAAACAAATATAAATTAAATACATTTTTAAATGTATAGAAATAGACTTATATCCAATAAATTAAAAAAATAGAAAATTTTTACTAATAATGTACTACTTGCACAGCTTAATACTAATTAGTATGTAAATGTGTATTCCATTGTGCTTTCTTAAAAATTATGAATGTAAATAGACTCAAAACACCGATTCCTAAAGATCCCAGGTAAGCTATTTAGTTCAGAGAAGTAAAACAAAAACAAAAACAAAAACAAATACACTTGTTCTTAAAACTGCATATGATTCAATTTCATTATTGCAAATTACATATAATTCAATAAACAAACATAATATTTAATATATACTTGAAAACCATGGGATTATATATGAAAGGAAAGGAAGTCTTCAAATATTTTTTATGCCTAGAAGTCCTAACATGTTTTACCTTGTATTTTCCCTGATCACAGCCACACAAAGTACTCTCCATGGTATAGCTTCTTTGTACTCCTATTTCCCTCCAAACTACAACACGTGCTGTGGATTCTTTAGATTTTTCCACTACAAAGCTACAGCTGCTCATGCAAAATGCTGGGGCAATATGGCTCAGTACCTTAGGCAAAGTCTGTAAAAATAAGAATGATAATTTTAAAAATAAGAGGGATGTTTTTAAAGATTTGTTTAACTTTTAAAAATTTTGATAAAAGCACAGTCATTACAGCAGGATCATGTGCATCTTCTTGTTATATCCCCTGCTATTCAAACATCAAAACAACCCTCTTGCTAGTTTAAAATTTTCTGCTTTACTACATAATAACCAGTTAGAAAACCCAATGGAAGAAAGGATCACATTCATAGTAGAAGCCAGTAGCAGAACAAAAACATGTAAGAAAAGCATGTTCGAAAAAAGTTTAGTCATGAAAGATTAATTGTGAGATTTAACAGTATAAATGTCAGTCATCCCTAAATTAATCAATAAAGTTAAGACAATCACAATCAAAATACCCCAGAATTTTTTGTAACTTAAAATTATTCTCAAGTTCACCTGAAAGTATACACTGGGAAATTCTGGGAGGAAACGGGCTATGACTAGTGAAATAACACAACAGATAATAATCTAGACCATATGTCTAGAGTACGTGAAACTGTGATACTGAGGCAGGAATAGAAAGATCTGTAGAAAGAGAGTTCAGAATTGGAACCAAAGGTATTAAAGTTATTATTATTAGAGGAGAAAAGATTGATCATTCATTAAATATTGGCACAATACTGAACTGGATAGCACTGAGAAAAACAATCTGAAGATGCTCTTCATCAAATTAAATTCTAGCTGGATTGAGGATTTAAGCTTAAAATAAGTAAAATTTTAAAAATGAAACTAAAAACAGTAAACAAGAAAGCATATTACTATCCACCATAAATGAAAAAATTAGAAAATATTATTTGTAATACATACAAACAGTTCTTATTTTAAAAACAATCATAATTAGATGACCAATACAAAAGTAAGCAGACAATATGAGAAAAGGCTATTTGAAAAGAGATCATAATTGGCTAAATATATGTAAAGATACTCAGCTTCATCATACATTTATAGATATGCAAATTAAAATAATCAGATAGTATTTTCTCCTGGCAAAGAAGATAGTACAATGTAGTAAGGATGTAGAGAAACAGCACTATCATTCACGGTATTTGGGAGTATCAATATGTACAGTCTTTATAAAGGACAATTTGGCAGTGCTAATCAAATAACCACCAACAGAGAACTACTGAACAAATTTCAGTACGCTCATACAGTACAGAAGTACACAATGGAAATCTTGTATAATGGTTAAAAAGACCGAGACAGATCCAGAGATGATGACCTGGAAATATGGCCAACAAACATTATGTTAAAGCAAGTTGCTGTGTAGTGTTTAAAAAAATAAAAGCAGACAAAAACTGCAAGTACTGTCTGTATATACATTTAGGAATGGATGTGCTTAGAGGCAAGTAACACAATGGTAAAACCGACTCATTAGTGTTGAGGGTGATTGGGAGAAAATGACTTTCACTTACCACTTCATTTCTGGAGTGTTTCCATTTTTTATATAATTCTAATCATTTTATTTATTTGGGAAGGGGAAGAAGAGAGAAGACACCAAACAGAAAATGTGCTTTGAAGTTCTGCTAAGGGTAGTGATATGTCACTGAAACTTTTGTGGAAAATGATCTGGGGTGCTTGCTTAGGTCTATCTATTGTAGAAGGGACACAGGGACAAAGTGGAAAGCACATAGGACCTGAAGCAACAGCTTCAGTCCCAGGCACACCACTTCTTGCAAGGCCTAAGGCATGTCAACCAACCCAGAAGTCTCAGCTGACTCATCTGTACAGTACCGGTGATAATCCCTACCTATGTCACAAAGCATCGTGAAGCTTAAACAAAAAATCAACATGAAAGTAAACCAAAAGATATGAGCACTATCCAAATAAGGTAATACTATTGTTAGATGTTTGTCTATACATACAATTAATTCATCTATTCTTTCAACAAATATTTACTTAATGCCTATTACGTACTGGGGATACTCAGTAAACCAAAGAAATAAAAAGTCCTAATCTACATTACTCGTAGTCACCTCCTCTTCAGGAATGATGGTCTACTATCTATAATACTTAGCAATATTACAAAGTGCTTAAAAAGCTAATAGTTATTTTAATAACACTAAATCATATATTTTATTTCAATAAGGTGAACATCACCGCATATAATAACAAAGGTTAGTTTCTTCAACTTTTTGAGCTAATTTTAAACTTAGAGAAAAGTTACAAAAATAGTACAGAGAATCTTCATATATTTCTCACTCGGCTATCCCAATGTTGACATCTTTTTCTGTCTTTCTTTTGGGAGGGGCGGGGGCTGGCCAGTGTAGAGATCTGAACCCTTGACATTGGTGTTATCAGCAGCACCAGTACTAACATCTTAACATAACTACAGCACAATATCAGAACAAAAACAAATTAACAGTGATTCAATTCTATTAACTAAACTACAAATTTAACCAGTTCATTAAGTTTCACCAGCTATTATTTACATTTCACAAGTTTTTCTAATATCTTCCTTCAAGATCCTATCCAGAAACTCACACTGCATTGAGTTATTATTTCTCCTTAGTCTCCTGCAGTCTGTAACAGCTCCTTAGTTTTTCTATATCTTTCATGATCTTCACACTTCTGAAGAGTACTGATCAGTTATTTTGTTAAATGCCCTCAATTGAAATGCCATAATGTTTTGTATTTTTCCCAAAAACATAAACACTTGCACGAAAAGGACAAAGGAGTACTATGATTTATCAACAGAAACACAGCATTTATGTATATTTATCCATCATTTCCCAAACCATCTGCAAAAACAGGTTCCATATGGGGCCGGCCCGGTGGCACACTGCTACAGTGCACTGCTTGGGAGTGCGGTGGCGCTCCCGCCGAGGGTTCAGATCCCACATACAGACCGGTTCCCGCTCACTGGCTGAGCGAGGTGTGGGGGCAACACCGAGGGTTGCGATCCCGTTGCCGGTCCCGGTCCGGTACGGGCGCGACACTGAGGGTTGCGATCTGTTGCCGGACACGAAAAAAAAGACAAAAAGGAAAAAAAAAAAAAAAAACAGGTTCCATAGTCAGAATAGTGCCCCTCAAAGACATTCATGTCCTAATCCCTAGAACCTGGGATTTACATGGCGAAGGGGACTGTCCCAGATATGATTCAGTTAAGTATTCTGGGATGGGAGATTATCCCGGATTATCCAGGTGGCGCCAGTGTCATCACAAGGACCCTCATTAGGGAAAATGGGAGGCAGAAGGAGAGAAGGTGATACTACAAAGTGATTTAATTCCTGGCTGGAAAGGATCACAATGCAAGGAACACAGCAGCCCCTAGAAGGGGGTGGGAGGCTGGGGACAGAAAAACGTTTCTTGCCTAGAACCTCCAAAAAGAATGCAGTCCTGCTGATATCTTGATTTTTAACTTAGTGAGACCTACATCAGCTCTACAGAACTGTAAATTAATAAATTTGTATTGTTCTAAGCCCCTACATTTGTGATAGTTTGTTACAGCAGCAATAGGAACTAACACACGATCATAAAATTGTGGGAAATGCCCCACTTTCACACACACCCCAATAACTCTGGAAATGTACAAAGCTCATTAGCATGTGAAGATTCTGAAGAGTCCTAAAGACAAGAAACAAAGTTAATGGTGTCGAATGCAATTACCAGACATATCTGATCATAAAACTATATGGGGATGGGGGAGAAAACACCTGTTAACGTCTTGAGAAATGTACTTTGGGAAAAAGTGCATTATTCATTCTGTCTAACCTACAACATCATCTAATGCTTCTTTTCACAACAAAACCCAGAGAACGAACAAAATAAACAAACTTGGGAAGAGAGAATTAATGAAATGAAAAACTTGAGATCAAAGATAGCTAATTAATTTTATCTCTTACAATGGGAAAACATGTCTTGTATTTACCCTCCCATGTCTGCCTGCCATTCATCCATCCACCTATCTGAAACTATTGCGTACTCATGGTGAATGAGGCACTATGTCATGCAGTAGCAATGTTCTCAAGAGTAAGCATATCAGACATGATTGCTAGGCACATGGAGCATCCTATCTAGTATAAAGAGAAACACGTTAATCAAATAATAACATACAAAAAGTTAAAACTATAATTCTTAAGTGTCATGAAGAAGAGACAATCTTGCGAATGTGTAGTCTGATTTCATATGATAAAATAAAAGGAATGACTAGGGAAAGGGATGGGGGCGTTCTGGAGAGCAGCACACAGAAGGGCTCTGCGTGTGTGCTCTTTTGTCTGGCTTTCTCCCGTTCTCTGGGCTTCTCACTAGTCTCACTTTCTTATATTGTTGATCTGGGACTAAACATTCCCATTTTTCTTCTATATCCCTGAGCTCTGCTAATCTGTTTCCTTCATTCAATACAGCTTCTAAACTCTGAAGGTAGAGTGGCAGTAACATTTATTGAATGTTGACACATGGGCTGTTTTACATACGTTCTTGGGCTCTCCACCTTTCTTCTGCGCTTTGTCTCCCTCTTGGATTTAATTTCCAAGCCTTTCTCTTCTTCTCTTCCATTTTGGCAAGAATATCTTCCAGTAGCTTCCAGAGAAAGGCAATTTGTGAGGCAAGTGTTTGAGACTTCCCATGTCTGAGAACATCCTTTCTTACTTTCACATTTACTGATAGTTAGGACAGAGTATAAAATGCATAGGTTGGAAATCCTGCTGAGAATTGTGAGGGCACTGCTAAACTAAGTTTCTGCTTCCTGTGTTGCTGCTGTAATCTTTTGTAGGAGGATATGAAACTTGTAGAAATTTCTTCTGAAAAAAGTTAATAGCTTTCCCATGCACCATCAATGATCAATTGGAGGTGGGCAGACATGTGGGGGGAAAATCCCATTCCCAACTGCAACAAAATTAATAAAGTATTTGTATTTGGAAATAAGTCTAACAAAAATAGCACACCTATGTGGAGAAATTTTATATCTTTATTAAGAATATAAAAGACTCAGTTGAACAGACACATAGGCAATGTTCGTAGATAGCAATGCTACATATCATCATCATAACAATTCTCTCCAACTTAATTTAGATTCAACACAATTCTGACCCAAAGTCCAACAAAGTTTACCCATGAACTCATCCTAAAATTCACAAGAAAGAATAACAGACAAAAAAGAGCCAGGGCAATTTTTTAAAAGGATATGAAAAATTTGCCCCACCAAACAGCAATACTAATTATAAACCTACAGTAACTAAAACAATGTGGTATTCAAAGAGATAGAAATAAGAATAATTGCAATACCAGAGAGCCTTACATCACACACATCCAGGTGGCAACACAGTACGCTAACAGACAGCTTCATCAAATCCATAGAGGAAGGATGTGCTGTCTAGTAAATGGTGCGGAGACAAATGGTACACCAGGGAAAATAAAGGTAGATCCCACCACATCTCACACAGAAAATAAATTCCAAACAGACAAAAAATCTAAATGTGATAAGACAAAATTTAAAATGAAAATGTGAAATAAAAATGGCAAAATGTCAACATTTACTGAATCTGAGTGGTGTATATATATTAAATTATTTTCTGTACTTTTACACGTTTGAAATTCAAAAACTCATGAATCATCCATAATAATTACCCTGTATCCTATATCTTCCACAACATCACATGAAGTTGCGTTATCACTGGTATGCCACACTGTCTCTTTGATGCTGCAGCCATACATAAATACATTCTTCTTTCGGGAATGGCCATGATAATCACAATAAACCTTGAAAAGATAATATATTTCAAAAATTAAAAGCCTTCAAATTCATATATTGTCAAGTAAAGGTAGTTAATATCAAGCCAATGAAGAGGTCTGTGTTCCTTGGCCTTTTTACTGTAACAGAACCACTGTTTAAAAAGTAGAACCAATAAAAGTAATAATATCTAATTTTGGAAAGGATCTATGATTAATTTTAGAATTGCTAAATCCTTTGAAGGTCCTCTATCAAGCCACAAGTTCCACTCTTTCTTTGTACTTATATTTAAAAAGATAGTAAATTCAATTATAGTTCAAATCTATAACTGCAGTCATCACTGCCCCAAAGGGTTGTTAAAATATTCACCTAATTTAAAGGAACATGAAAACACTCTTAAGAAAACCACAGTAAGAAAGGGTACGGTTTCTATTTAATTTTTAAGAGCATCATTTTAAAAATGAAAAATAAAGGTCAGACTCACATGTCAACTTTACCCTTCTATCTTTCCCAAAAGATTAAATTAAAAACTAACATAACAGAAACATTCTAATCAAAAGCTGGTGACAACAGAAGGAATATACACATACAGTCCACACAGTCTCACACCACGCCTCTACTACACTTCTAAGGTGTGTATTGGAGACTTAACAGTTCCAGAGCTGACTAAAAAACTCAGAAATAACCTTTTACTAGTTTGAGAATCTGGAAGATACATATTGTTACCTTAGTGTTTTTCAAATCAAGAAGTTAAATATCTAAAACTTAAGCAAAAAACTAAACAAAAAAGTATAGGACTTACGAGAATTATGAGAATTCTAAACATTCAACCTGATAAAATAAATATATAGATATACTGTACTAATTTGACACCTTAATTATCATACAAATGACTGATAATAGAAAAAGACATTTTAAATAAATTGCTTTTGAAATTTTTAACACTTAGCTCTACGAGAATTATGAGAATTCTAAACATTCAACCTGATAAAATAAATATATAGATATACTGTATTAATTTGACACCTTAATTATCATACAAATGACTGATAATAGAAAAAGACATTTTAAATAAATTGCTTTTGAAATTTTTAACACTTAGCTCTTACAACCATAATATAATGTACAAAATACTAAGTCATTAATCAACAAAAACATTTGACTATACAAAGTAAAAATAAATACTGCAACTTACCAGGGGTAAACGCTTCACTGCAGCCAGGTATTGTAACAGCCCCTTAGCATGATAAATTGTAGGATGTAAATCTGGATTTGGACTTTGCCACTGCCTGTTCAAATCCTCTCCACTTAAAGAACAGCGGTGACTACATATGTCAACACAAAGACAGAACAACATTGGTACCAATAAAGCCTTATATATTTATAAGATATATGATTTAATATTATGATTCCATTCCACTAAGTATTTCAAATAGGTGTAGATAGTGGCTCAACCGAATGCATATTATATTAAATAAACATTTATTGAGCATTTACTATGTGTAAGATCTTGTGTCACATGCAAGTAACTGTGGTAAGCTTTCAGATTTATAATCAAAATTTTCAGGCTACAGAAAAAAATTAATTCTCAATTATGGGGTTTTGTTCCATACTTCATCAAGTTTATTAATGGTCCCATTAATGGTCACATTTTCCATTCTAACTACATAATAATCATATGCTATACGCTAACATTCTCTACCTTGAGTGCATTCAATATTTTGTAAAAGTGCTATCTAGGCCCTTCTGAGAAAGACAAGTACATGAAAAGTATACATTCTTGTAAAAATTCAAATATACTTTAATTTATTCATACATACTAAGTATTAAAGACATTAAGCAAAAACTTAAGTAAACAATAAGAAGGTGACAACAGAAATATAAATACAATTCTAACTGGTCACTATGCTTCTGAATTTAAAGTAGACATTTCAGTTTCACAGCCGTAACATTAACTATAAAGAAATTCTATCTTTTTTAATTCAATAATTTCCTAAAATATAAGAAATATCTATGCTATGTCTACTGAATAAATAAGATATGGTACCCTCATCTTTGGAGATGCTCATCACAACTGGAGTAAATCTCATCTTTCTGAAGCACTACAAAGACCTTGTCAAACTGCCAGAAAAAATTTACTGTACTAACTATAAGCTACCTCTGCTTAAAAAGTAATTATCTTCCAGTATTTTCAGTCTAAAGAATTCCTTCTGACAGAAACTACAACCTCCTCATATCAGGAAGACGTTAGCAGATGGGGCTGACTTTCCATATCAGATAGTAATTAGACTCTGGCATTGCTGTTATAGTCACCAAAGGACAGCTGTTTCCAGACAAGGTTTCACATAGGACATCTTTTCGAAAATAGATTTGCTGAGGATTGTGTGTTGATTCCAATTTTTGAAGATGCATCTTGATAAAAATTTAAAAGCAAAGTATACAATCATTTTAAAACTCCGTATGATAATATCGAAATAATGCATCAGGATCTCCACATAACTAGAAGTGAATCAGATTCTTAAACCCTTATCCAAAACCCTCAGGGCCAGATGTAGTTCAACACCAGTATTTGGGGAACTTGAGAAAGGTGATAGAATGTGTATACCATTAATTGTGCAACACCACCAGCGGGTCAGGGCAGCAGCCAGTAATAAATGCATTATTATTTGTGCAGCAAAACATATAAAGAGTCAGCCTAAGTGGAATCAATATTCTAAATAAGCTCATATCAGTTCAGGTCAGGCTTTGCTACTGATGAGTTACAAAAACTCTTTTGGTTTTCAAAGATTTGTGAATTTTGGAATTGTGACTGTAGACCTGTAATAGCAACCTGAAATTTGAAGAATAAAAATCATATAGCACAAATTTTCGTAAGAACTTCTTGTCTTGATTTCAAGATTAAGACAGGCTCATTGTAAAATGTCTGGAAGACACAGTACAAAGAAAAAATTTAAAACACCCACAACTGTACTGCCTAGATTACTATTAACAAATGCAATGTATATAAATAAAACCACAATTACATGTAAGACATTTTATAATACAATTTTATCACTTAGTAATTTATACATACACATATATTCATAAGTATGAAGACTATACCATATCATCAAATATGTTAAATATGTTTTTTGAAAACACAAGTTTTAATATATGGCTATACCAAAAATAAACTGTCCAATCCCTTATCTTTACATACTTAATTGGTTTTCAAACTTTTGCCTATGTTTTTTCACATAATCACCATTGACTGAGTGTTCATTATTTGCCAGAAACAGTGCGGAGCATTAGGGATGTAACAATGAACAATGGACCCTATCCTAGGGAAAATACAGAATGCTGAGAGAGCTTCTAACGAGGGGAGGGGAGCCTAGCCAAGTCTGGGCAGTGAAGAAAGGTCGTCTAGAAAAAATTGCATTTTATACTAAGATCCAAAGGATGGGTGAAGGGGACAGAGAGAAGCACTACAGGCAGAAGGAAAAGTATACAGAAAGAACACAACATAAGACAGAAAAAGGGCATTTCAAAGAACTCAAAAAGATTCATTATGGCTAGACCAGATAGAACAAGGGTGAGAAATACAGAGAATCTGGTACATAAGGGAGGGCCCAGTAAACCAATCTTTCCCAAAGAACAGTATACCTTCTATTGGTAATTGAAATAACTAAGTGATAGCGGATAACCTTCAAAAAAAGTTTAATAGGTATATATATTTTACTGTGAATTAGAAAAAGGCTAGTACATTAAACCTGTGATTCCTTGGATATTAACTTAGGACAAGGATAAATTTTAAAGAGTGAACCATTTTAAAGTCTATTTAAAGATAAATATTAAATGAATAATAGTTCAAACAGTATGTGGATATGGCAAAAAAAATGAAAAATTGTCAAGAAAGGACAGAATGAACCATGGTAAGAATTTAAGACTTCACACAAAAGGGCAAGAGAAATCACTAGAGAGTTTTAAGCAGAGAATTTACATGATGAGATGTGCCATAGAAGAGCCCTCCGGCTGCAGCTGGAAAAAAGACTGATGAAGAGGAATAGGAGCAAAAGTGAATCCTAGGACACCAGTTAGAAAGAGGCTGGCAGAAGTCCAGGTGAGAAACAATGGTAAAGCCTGGAAAAGGTCATGTAATGGGGCTGGAAGAAAGTAAGAGAATTCAAAATATACTAAAAATGTAAGATGAGTCAAGAACAACAACATATAACCAGGCAAATAAAAATGTTTAAGTTATATTTTTATATTTGTTCATATTTTCCTAGGATACATTACCCCAAAATAGAACTACTAAGTCATTGTGTATTCTGATGCTATGTAATTAGCACCAAGAGCTACCTGACGTTACACCTTGACTGTAGGTTGTGACCTTTAGTAAAATACAGTGCGGCTCATCTGCTGTTCGCAGCCTTCTGCTGTACAGACCGAACTTTTCTTTCATTGTCCCCTCTAATATTTGGAAGGTTCTTTCTACTCATAGTACTCCAATTTTTTTCCTGCTAAATGGATCATACCTTCATGATCCTTAACCACTATAACAGATATTCTGTATGGAGAATAAATCAACAACAGCTGATCATTTAATTACTTGATTTAGTTTGTTTAGTTTTGTTTTACAATACAAATATTCAAAAATCTCAAAAGTACAAAACAACTTTCATACTCCATATTCTAAGGAATCTGAATCTAGGACTACATAATGAAAACATTTCCTATAGAAAATTTTTTCAATTTTTCCTACAGAAAAATTCAAATTGCATTTACATTTTTTTATTGTTACATTGTCTATGAGAGTCAACGCTTCTGGTTAACCAAGTAGAAATCTCTCCTACTTAAAATTTGTAAATCATGGAATCTTGGTTTCTACAAAAGATGGTAAGTAAAAATCATGTCAAATTTCCTTAGCACCTCTTTCTATTAAAAAAAAAAAATAAGGACCACATTACCATTTTTCTCCCTTTAATGTTTTCAACAAATATTGTAGTATTTCCTAAAATCTTCAATGCTGAACCTTTTCTTATTTTTTTAAGATATTTAATTAAAAGCAACTTTTGGGGGCTAGCCAGTTAGCTCAGTTGGCTAGAGTGCAGCCTTATAACACCAAGGTCACAGGTTCAGATCCCCACAACGGCCAGCCACCAAAAAAAAAAAAAAAAAAAGCAACTTTTCAATATAATAATACTCATAATACAATTTAATTTAGAGTTCTCACCTGTAAAGTTGAATAGGTATATGGATAATGATAAGCAAAGTAGCAAACATCATCTTTATGTGGAAAATTGACAGTGAATGTAATTGTATAGTAGGATTTTCCCTTTTGTCCACCTGCAGCTACCGAACTTCTTGAGAAGTGATTTCTGCAACAGGAAAGCAACAGGAAAGACATATTTATTTCATCCACACAAAAATTCTGATTAATCTTCTACTTTTATTAGATAGAATTTCAGGGGAAAAAAGAAAAATCCCAACCTGTACAAAGTTTAATATAAATACCCTCTAAAAACAGAGTTAGGGGCCGGCCCGTGGCTCACTCGGGAGAGTGTGGTGCTGATAACACCAAGGCCCCGGGTTCGGATCCCATATAGGGATGGACGGTTGGCTCCCTGGCTGAGCGTGGTGCTGACAACACCAAGTTGAGGGTTAAGATCCCCTTACCGGTCATCTTTTTAAAAAAAAAAAAAAAAAAAAAAAAAAAAAACAGAGTTAGTATTAATGAAGTAGTTAACTGTTATTAGCCAATGACCTTACTTTGCACTTCTTAATTTATTAATTAAATGGAGATAATACTTTACAAATCAATAACATTTTTAGAACCCCATTCTTTGAGAGCCATACATGTTACTGGATCTAGGCAATGATTATCAATGGCTGCTACAAACCATTAGATGAAAGGCTGATCAACACCTTTACAGTAGATGGATCAGGCCACAATACCTGAATTCACTAATCAATCTTAACATTAACAGATAAGAAATAATCAGAGATGAGGTTTCCTGATGTGATGCAATGAATTCTCGCCAAAAATCAAATCTGAACCTGAAGCTGATCAAGCTTCCAGATCTAACTACCGATTTATAGAAAATCAGATAGAAAATCAGAGATAGAAGAATTTGTTAACACCACAGGGATGTAATTAGCGAGATCCAAATGTGAAAAATCCTTCATGACAAATAATCCAGTTTCTTTAACAAGTGAATGAGAAATTTTTAAAAAGAGAAAAGGGGAGCCTATAAATTAAATTAAGAGACAAAGGACATATCAACCAAATATCAACAAAAATCTCATGCAATGTGTGATCCTCAGTTGGATTCTGATTGAAATAAACCAACTATAAAACAACATTTATGAAGCAATTAAGGAAGGAACACTGGATATTTCATCATATTAAGGAATTTTCTTAATTTTTCTCAGGTGTAGTAACGGCATTACGGTTAGATTGTCTTAAAAGGTCTTTGTATTTATGGATAAAATATCTAGAATAAAGTATTCTAACAAATAGAATATATAAATATTATAATCAAATAAAATATCATGCTTTAAAGATTCAGCATGAAAGTACAGCTAAAACAAAACTCAACATGTGCTGATAATTATTGAAACCGGGTAATGAATACATGGGACCTCATTATCCTATTCTCTGCTTTTGTAAATGTTTTTTTTTTTTTTTTTGGCTGTCATTTTTTATTTATTTATTTTTTTTATTTTGTCAATATACAATGTAGTTAGTTATTGTGTCCCATCACCGAAACCTCCCACCCTCCTCCCTCTCCCCCTGCTTTTGTAAATGTTTGAGGATTTCTATAATAAAAAGTTTTTAAAACTACACATTACTTTCCAGACTTTAAATATTGCTGACATATGCTGATTTAAATATGCTTTGTCTACCAACTTAATTTCAAAACTTCTAAATCATTTTGTATTACTCAAGCCACAAACTGAAGAAAAACCAGTGCCTATACGTGCTTTATTCACGAACATAAATATTCAAGGTATTTTCAAATCAGTATAGTCTTCATTAACTGAGTCACTGTATCTTGAATAGATACCCAATAACAAGGTGTTAAGGATTAAGGAAAATGCAAAACAAATTCAAGAACTAATCTCTGCCAACTCTTTTTTCCCCAAAAGGTTAATATCTAATTGGAGAGGTATTTATACCACACCACATCATAGCTATATGACAGTATACAGGTTATAAACCAGTAAAACATACACTAGCTCATATATTGGTGGAAGGTAGTTTTAATTAATTTTAGAGATAATACAAACAAGCATCAGAAGACTTAGCTGATACAAAAAGTTAAGACAAAAGAAAAATAGAATTTAATCCTTACTATCTTTTTTTTTTTTTTTTTCGTGACCGGTAAGGGGATCGCAACCCTTGGCTTGGTGTCGCCCA